GAATGCTAAGACTGCCAGTTATTGATGAGGCTGTTGAAAGTGGCAGATGTATCATCCCTCTATCTGGACTTTTGAAAAAAAAAAATACGGAAGGGAAAAATAATTTACTTTTCAGTCTTACGTAAACAACTGCTGAATATCTGAAAAAGACGGAATGGCGAAATGAGCGGGGAGAAGATCTGTCATACGCTTCCAGGTACGGTAACTGGAGAAGGGCCGAGTGAATCCCGCCCACAGCTACCTTTGCCTTTCTCTCTCTAACCTGCCTGTTCCTGCACGACAGCACGCAGTGAGGCGTAATCGGGAGTGCAAAGCACCTGCTGCAACGATGACGTCGGGCTGAAGATCCAACAGTTGTTTTTCTGTAACTGAGCCCCAGTCAAGTTCTGCAACAATTAGTTTTGGGGTTTGGCAATTCCTTGCTTCTGCCTCCTGGCCTTGGGACTCCGTTTGGATACGACGAGTAGCGTCAGGCTCCAAGACAAAGCCGTTCAAACGGATGTTCTCTGTCAGCTCTCTGAGAACACCGGGGTGGCAGTCACTAAATATGTATGTCTTGGGACTGCAGGTTTTACAGATTGCAATTCCAGTGAAGCCGATCCCGCTTCCTAGTTCCAAGACTGTCCTGAAGGGTAACGGAGTAAAAAAGTACTTATTAGGACTCTAAACTGAGTTAGGAAATCCAAACGTTCTAAGTGTATCTAAAGGTAAAATCGGTTACAGATTATTTCAATAATTTTTGAGTAAACCATCTACAATCTAATCTTTGCTTCAAACAACTGGTAAACACTGAAGATGCAATTACAAGCATAAAAATGAAGTACTTGAAAGACTGCTTCTGTGTGTGGTACAAAGCATTTCCACTGCTGGGGAGAGATACGTTCCACCTGCTTTTAGGCTTCTGCAGCATGGTCGTCTCCGCCTAAACTGGTTGTCCAGTTCTTGTCATAGTCAGTGGAGAGAAACAGACACTTCAGCAGCACAGTTCCTTCCTTGAGAGGTCGATATTTAAAATTAACTTAGCTGAGTCTTCCCTCAAAAGTGCTTATTCCTCTCGACTGCTTATAAACAACGTCTAGACTATGGAGTTAGATGTGCTCACATCGAAAATTAGGTGAGATGAGTCCCGTCATAGAGTGAAGCGCACTAGGTAAAGGTACTGGCTAGAGAGCGCGGTAGCTGAAGTTTAACAGCCTACTTTACGGAGCATGTCTGACTGCGTGGTGTAATGGTTTTGATCCTAAAACCTGTCTTAAAATAACTACGAGGTCCCCTCCTGGGTTAAAGTTTGACTGTTGCAGAACAGACAAGAGCAGCAGTTGGCCGGTAGCAAAAGGGTGTAGTCATTTCAGTTATTTGGGGGGGGGTAAATACTGTGTATTATTGAATTACAGCTGCATAGCTCGCTCACGATACGAACGGAAATACCTTGCCTTCTTTCCCCATCTTGCCGTCTGTGCTGCTGTCGTTACCTGTTACTGAAAACCGCAGAGTTCTCTATTGCCCATTCAGCGAGATGAAGAGCAGCGTCCCACGTGACGAGCCCCGTGGTTCCTCCAGAGATAATGGCCACGCTCTCGGAAAGGGTAACAGGCTCTCCCGTGGGCTGGAGGGGACACACGTGAAGAGAGGGAGGGATCAGCACAGGCAATGGATTTCGCAGTTTACAATCAGTATGAGCACCTGGAAAAAGGTAGGAAGCGCTTTGGGTTTCTGGGGGGCTACTTCTAAAGGCAATTATTGCTTAGCTCAGAGGATTAAAAGTGGTTTATAACAATGCAGCGTTGGTCCTTACCAGTAAGTAGTTTTTGTAACAGTGAGTAGATTCTTCTTCATTTAAAATTCCTGCCAGCGTATCGTACAGTTCATCCAGGGGTTCAGCTGCTGTGGATTCATGCTGTGCGAAAGAGAACGGGGCTGCGTCAGGTATCAAATTGGTTGTCATGAAACAGAAAACGTACACGCATTAAGTGCCAGTTTAATACATCACCGGCCACAGTATTTACACTGAATGCTATTTTTTGTTAATACAAGTAATTCAGCTTGGCCCATAATGTAAAACTGGCATATATTCAAGGGGAAAAAAAAAAAAAAAAGAGTTGCAACCACCAAGAAAAGCAAGCACTACCTTTTTGATGAGTTCAGTCAGAAAGCATCTTCTGTACTTGGTGGAAGGGGGATATTTTACACACAGGGGGTGGAGAATGGTCTAGAACAAGAACAGCAATTGAAGCCGGTTAGCGAGCGAAGATTTTATGCAAGGCAGTGAGGGGCCGGAGGAAGACACGGGAGCCGTTAACTGGCTCTTCGTGTCATGCAGCGCATTGCGATTCAGTCTGTAGCTAAAAGAAGCGATGCTGAGCCAGAAAATGAAATTTGGTGACTTCTGATCCCTCTGTCAGCTTACAGATCTGCGGCAGCAAATGCGTTTTTCACTTTTCAGGAAATAAATAGCAAAACTGAGTGGAAAGAGAGTCCAATTAGCTCTGTTTTGCTTTTCTCTTCTCTCTTTTTTCGGTTTGCTGCCTTATCCGCGATCTCCTGTCCCCGTGCAAAGTTCAAGCGCTGAAAGGGCTGGCGGGTCCCGCGCTGCCTCGGATCACCCCCTTCGGGACCGCCGGGATGCAGGACCAGCCGGGCTGCCCTGCCTGTGGCACTACAGTCGGTGCTCCGGCACACGGGGCTTAATTTTGGTGCCAAGAGCAGCTAAGTAACAGGAAGGGAAGGAAACTTGCTGTTGTGCTGGGCCCAGGGAAAACCTGTGACACAAAACCTTTGTTAACCGTGAGCAAAACCCGTTAGAGGACAGTGCTCGCCTTGCTCAGGCGAGGCGGCCTCGCACGTTCGCGGCAGCCCGGGGGTGCTGCCGGGGGTACGGCCCCGACACCGCGTCACCCC